GCGTTTTTTCTGTCTTTTTTTTTTTTTTTTTTTTTACAGAAGAGATGTACACAAATGTTTCTATTGCCCATAAAAGCTTGATGTACAACTGCAAGTCGGTAGATAGACGCTTTCCCTACTTCTACTATCAAAAAGTGCTGAATTTCTGCCATCAGCTGTCTTTGTAAGTCAATTTGCTTTCAGAAATGAGCATCGTCCTCAGCTTTGTAGTTAGGAACATGCCAGCCTCTGCCCTTCTCTTAATAATACCCTGGCAATATTCTCTGATAAGAATCCCACCAGTCCAGCTTCGGGCCTCTTTGCAGAAGAATCTAATATATACAGATACATAGTTTTAAATGAGGAGTCTTCCAGGCTAACTGAATGCACAGTTCTGGTGGGAAAGGGAAAATTAAGGAGAACTCCCCTTGGTTTCCAAAGCTTGGGACTTCCCAAAGCTAATTTGACTATCGTGCACTAGTCAAATTAGTAGCATTTTGCTTTTGATTTTTTGATTAGCTGGAAGTTGGGATTTTGTGGATGGTGGTGTTTGAGAAGAGAGGCACGGTAGCGTGAACTGTACCATTTTTAGGGCATGAAAGTCTAGTAAAAAGGATGACTGAAATAACATCTGAGTAAGGTAACACCCTGGTTCCATAAACAGAGAAAAATCTGCTTCTGCAGACTTCAACAGAATGACAGTATTCTACAACAGTTCTCTCCCATATATGAGAGCCATGTATTTTTAATAGCCTCATGCTCCAACTTTGCATCTGCATTTAGTTGCATGCCCTGAGTTTGGACACACTTGACCACTCTTCTGCATTTATAACCATTGCATTGCTCTCCCAAATGATGTGCTCTGTCATTTGAGCATTGTGAATTGTACCTACAGTGGGATTCAACCATAAGATACCCTCAAAGCTGCAGGCTCTTTCCTGGCCTCTGTTGTACTTGCTCAGTGTCTGCAAAGACCTTACCAGGAGGTAGTTTCATATATGCTTATACACACTTTTGAAACCCACAGTATTTAGCTGAGTGTCTGACTGCTTTAATGGGGAAACAGGCAGGCATCAGTCCCAAAGCACTGAAAGGCTCTTTCCAAATTAATGAGCATAACAGAACAAATCGAAAAGCTCATCTCTGAGCAGTGCTCTCAACCCCAAGCACTATGTCTCACATGGAGGAGAAGAAGGGGAAATAACAAGATTTCATAAGCTTTCACTTTATTATAATGTCCTCATGTCATCTTTGTTTGAAGGTGAAAAATTGATGTGGTGAGAGGGGCAGTATTATTTGAAAAAGGAATGAATCAATGGTTAAGGCATTATATCCTTTAGACTGTATCCTTTGGATTTTACAGGGGCCTTTGGGGATGCTATGGAAACAGGGAGAAAACTGTTTCAGTGTGCAGAAGTCCATGCAAGGACTTATCACCATGGTTAACTTTGCTTCTGTTGGTGCATATGGTCATTCCATCCCTTTAATTATCAAACATTTTATCCCCTCCCCAGAAAGGATCAACTGTTGACAGCTAGTAATAAAAACTTTATTTGTTCTACGGTATTTAGGACCTGAAGGACCAAGACAAAAATACGTAATGAGATCCCAGGGAGCAATTCTGACGAGGTCTTGTAATAATGTCTTGGCAATCTTGTTCAGGCAGATGATGAAACAGCAAGGACCTGAATCCAAAACTCCCTGAGAGGCAAGTGGCACCCTATCCTCTGGACCATCCTCTCCCTAAGTTAAATGAAAATCCCACCAGAAAATACACTTTGGAGCTCCTACATTGAAGAATGCATGCCATAAATTTTCTGGGTTAATGGGATGTGTCAGGAAACCTGCCACAGAAAAAATTAAACTGATTAGTGGCTGTCACTCCAAACTGGAAGTTACTAAACTTGATAAAAGATTCCCATAAGAAAGTATCTATCGATATTTTACAACTCCACTTCTAAAGAAAACTGTCACTCATAAAGCAAATGAATGCAGAACTGCTGTTGAGAAATGACATGTTTTCATCTTTTGCAATTTAGTGTACTTTTCCTTAGCTTTGATCATATTTGTCATTAATCCTAATCTTCAAAACTCTTTCTTGCCCGTCCTGGAAAGCCCTTCCTGAAATAACAACCCCTCAGAGCCAAATGCAGAATGACTCCAATTCAGACATTTTAAAATTAACACTTCTAGCTTATTTTCCCAAATTAGCAAAGACAACTTCATATTCAAAAAGCAACTAAAAACCAAGCATAAAGCTAATCTAAACTGTTTAACTTTTATTTAATGCCTATGTCTTCCTCCCAGATTGCTCTTAAATTGCCTGGCTCTTGCCCTGCGTTTCTCTCTGCCCCTCAACAGCTCTGCAGTCCTGTGCCTTGGCTACAGCAGCTGCCCACAGACCATGGACCCAGAACTCCTCATGGAGAGTCAGGCAGCAAAACAGATCCTCTGAAAAGGTTGTCAGCTATGTCATTCAACACTTAAGACGTGCAAGAGGCTTCAGAGCATTGCTTTGTCTTAGTGCGAGATCAAAAGGATCCGGCTTCCTTTTAGAAAAATGGTGAACTTCTTTTACAGTTTTTTTCTTCATTAAATCCTTACAGATAGTCAAAATAAAGCCATCTAGAAACAGCCCTTTAGATTTCATTAATATCTGTTCTCCCACATTATTCCCTGCCATTCACTCACACAAAGAGGAGAGCTCCAGATTAATGACTGATTGCCCATCCTTCCTTTCTCTACCTTCCCTCCCTCCTTTCTTTATTCAGAACTATCAAATTTACCCTGACTAGGCGTGAGGCGTTCTGGTCAAGAGTTTGACAAAACAATGTGCCTCAGACAGGCAATTTCATTCTTTGTTTTTACTATAGAGTTGACAAGTTATTACCGTGATTTATATCAACTGAAAAGAGAACACACAGGAAGGGGAGAGCCTGGTCACCACAGACCATGGCTTTCTTCATTTGGTTACGTTATTGGAAGGGGATGATCCTGAAGTTGCTTGCTCCAGTGTGTACCACGGATTTGAACAAAAGTGAATTTAAAAAAACCAAACAAAACCAACTCAAAATTCCTGCAAGTGTAATCAGAATTAAACCCTAAACATAGTCTGGGGAACACGCTGGGACTGCTTCCCCTCCATAGCTGCAATGCTGCTAGGAGTCCACAGAGAACGGGAAGGGTTGGACAGAGACGGGCATTATCTTCCTTCTCCCCCAAAGTCTTTCTGAACAGCCCATCCAGTACTGCCCCCTTTCCTTCTACAATAAACTACTTTTCCTCTCTTAGGAAGATGGGAGCAAGGGAAGAATGAATTAGGCAGGTGTTACAGTTAAAATTCAGCCTGCCTCTTTCTATCGTGTTGGAGACCACTTTTTAATCCCACGGTACAGACAGCTGGAACCACACAAGCAAGCTCATCAATTAATTTTTAAGAAGGTCTTTAATAAACTACATTTGTATTCCAGAGCCTTGCACACCAACATTAGTACTTCCTTCCTTCTGCTGAAGACACTTTGCTTAGTATCACCTGTGGCTTTTGCACAGGTTTAACACTGCTAGCAGATAACCAGCCTGTACTTGACAGGTAGAGCTACTGGTCCTAACGCTATCCCCCCTAAGTTAATGACACTACCCAACCGGGAATCATCGATAAATATCACCATTAGGTTTGTGGTGTCTGAACCATTGACATTAATAAGAATGTTAAACAAAATCAGTTCCAGAGACAGATCCATGAGGAGCTACAGTAGCTGCATATCTAGTACCGTCTTCTGTCCATGCTCTGCACTGTCACATCTACAGGTGCCAGCTACTTCACATCTACATCAGCTTAATATTGCTTCCTGGCAATACCAGTATGTGGCACTGTATCAAATGCTTACTGAAAACCACCTGATTTTATGATGAATTTGGTATGATCATCCCTATTTAGCAGACGAAGACACACAGGGACTCGCCCAAGGCCAAGAGCAGTTCAGCAAGCTGAACCCTGTTTTTCTTGGAACACTTAGGGCACCAAACGGTGCTTGATGGTCAAAAAGCACAGCTTCCACTGGCTCTCTGGCAGAGGAACCGACCCACAAAACAATATCCCTTTTTTTTGTCCATTTTTTTAGTAGTAATCTGCACATTTTAACAGTGACAAACATTCATTAGAGACTTTGAACATGTTATTGTCTCGAGGAAAGCATGAAAACTGTCAGCCTACAAACACAGATGCATTTTTCTTCCCGTGTTTCCTAGCCTGTGTGTATCACTCACCACCAAGACCTTCTGACAGTAGTATGTAGAAGAGGATAAAAGTTAGATAAAAAGGATATACAGTGAGATACCTGTTATAAAAAGGGATGCTAATCAGCAGGAAAACACCATCTCAGACCACCTCTTAACTCATAGTGATATTGGATGCCCTGCTTTGTTCTTCTTGCAAAGCTCCCACTGTTTCCTGAATGTTGACATGTAAAAATCTCCAAACTGGTGCTTGGAGTTCCCCCTTCAGCTCATGGATGGCTTCTAAAACCATGAGCCTTGTAGACATATATATTACAATCACATTTTTCTAGTATTTTCACGTTTTAGCAAGGACCGTACAAGAGGTACATTGGCTTAGTGTTTACAGCTCAGCTTGAAATGAAATGAAAAAACTGCTAATAAGGTCACTTAAAAATGGCATCAATTCTTTCTCCTTCTGAAGTTCATCTGGAATCAAACAATCTGCAAAACCACAATCACTCAGCTGAACTTCAGTCTAAAATGCCAAACATAAGAGGAATGACATTTTAGGGTTGAAAGGAGGACACGTGCTGGAGAGGCATGCTGTTGACACAGCTGGGCGCTGGGGAAACCAGCTATGGAGGGTGGTGATGATGGAAAGGATGGCTGAAATGCAGCAGACACGTTCACCATGACAAAAGGTGGCTGGGATGAGGCCCAGGAGGTGGCATGGGGGACAGGTCACTCACCGCAGCCTGCTCTGCTGGCTCGGCAGGCTCAGCAGGGACGGCCTCCTTTTCTGCAACAGCAGCAGCAGGGGTTTCCTCGACCTTGGGTTCCCCAGGTGGAGCTTCTTCAGCCTCGGTCTTTTGTTTTATTGATTTTTAAGTAGAGAGCGGAAAAATTGTTGAGGAGCACATGATAGTGGGGAGGGAGGAGGGGAATGGGAACTGTGCCTGGCACAGTGCTGCTTCACGCTCAATACTGCCGAGCTTTGCCAGGGAGAGAGAGGACAGCAGTGCTTGCCTTTATAGCATCTAAAGGGCATTTTCATCCTCAAGGTTCTATAAGCAAACTGATTCAGTCCTACATCCCTCCCTCACAGAGAATGAAAGTATGAGCTTCCTGAGTTACAGAAAGGGGCAAATGATGTGGAGGAAGGCACTCAGTTTGCTCAGAAATGCTCTCGAAATTGATGGCAAGGCCAGGACTTGAAACTGGCACTCATGTACCAATCCTAGGCTTCAAATATGAGTTTTTAAGATTATCCCCTCTTCCCTAGTTTTGTCTCTTCTTAAGACAATATAGTCCCTTCTCCAGTGAAGGTAAGAAGCAATTAGCAGAGACTCAAACAATTTTTATATGCACAATGGCAACCACTGACTGGTTGAATTCTGGCAGTGTGAAAATCAGCCCTGGTTTCTTATTAAAATGCATTACCTCGTGAGCTCTCAATCACCTACGAGGCATTTATCAACCCACTACTGGGATTTCCACCCTTTTAAATTCTGATCTAAACTTGTTTTTTAGCAAGAGGATCTAGTAAATATCACCAGTCCTGCGACACATTCAGTCCTGTGGCAAAACAGCTCACAGCAAAAGTGTGATCTCCAATGGAGACATCACTTTGCAAATACATGTGCATACAAGGGGAGAGCTGCAAGCTGTGCTCAGCATATTCCATTTATAAGATGGCTGACTCATCCAGATAAAATAACCCCAGTAGATTAATTTGCCATGAACAAATTGCTCAGCATAATATGAAGCTCAAAACCTATTCATCTGTTTTGCAGTTGATAACAGACAGCTGGCTAGGTCTCCTCTGATGAAGAAACCACTTCCATGAAACTCTTGAAGATACAGAAATCTTCTCCTCCCTCATACTTTTCAAAAAAAAAACCCAAAACCAACCCCATAGCCTCTCATTTATTTTCTCATATTCCTTAAGCAGACTGATTTGTAATGAGGTATAGAGAAGTCTGCCCAAGCAAGACCTCCAGGATTTGTCATTGCAAAACGAAACATCCATTATATCATATCATATCATATCATATCATGTTGTGCAGAAATCTCTGTGTAGTGTATTAACGCCAGCTCTAGGGAATTTCACAAAGAATAAATAGGACTGAAATGAAAAACACAAAGTAGATTTATCCCAGGTATGATGACTAATGAGTTTCCTGAGGTTTAACACTGGAAGAAACTTTCAGACTTAAAAATCACAGGTAATATGTTATAATGCAGAGTGCATTGATGTGCTTCATGTCACTTGTTGACAGGCAGTCTTCAGACTAGTTATCACATTTCAGCTACAAGTAAAAATACTCTCACCATATTCGATAACCATTATGAACACAAGCACCAGAGATTATACAAAAGCCACATTAAATAATACTATCATTCTGCTGCTATTAAGTAGCTATAACACTCACCCACCAATGCTGCTAATTCCACATTCTTACTCCAGGCTAACCAAGACTGTAAGAGAAACTAAGAAACTGACCAAGTATAACCACTTCCAGAAAGGTTCTCCACTCCTTAGAAGTAGACTGTGCCTACTATTAGTATGTGGAGAGTGGATAACACTACAGCAATACTGGAGACATTTAAACAGCCATCATGTACCATCACCTGCTTGCTGTACACTGGCCCATAGTACTCTTGTCATTTCTTAAATGCAACACATGAACAAATTGTTTGACTACACCTTTGAAAAGTAAACATATCCTAGAATATCCTGGTTTTCTTTTCTTTTTCTCTGTACTATCCTTATGGAAGACTGTTTCAGGGAGTAAAGATTTACTACCACAATGATATCACCCATCAACTCTTCCAGGTTAAGGTTTTGTGATTTTGAGGATAGAAAACACAAAGAAGGAGAACATATCTTTGCACAAAGGAAAAATGGTGCCATTTTTTATAAGGTATTTAAAAAGGAAGCAAAAGCCACCACTTACCAAAGGCTCTGTCACATTCTCATTTGATTGCACTGTGAATGCAGAGGTATCCTAGATATAGAAAGGAAAGACAATGATGCAAAAATATTTGAGATAGGATGTTTGCAGGTGTCTGTCAAAGACCCGATTTTTTTCAAGATTTATTCAGGTAGAGACATAAGTAAACTCACATAGAATAAGATGACAAATAGATAATCTAAATAGGTATTAATAATAATTATTAGATAAGCACTATTAAAGACATGCCTTTTTCAACTATACATTCTATGCTTCTAAATCATGCAATGTCATTAAAGGCAGTGAAAACCCCTTCATTAAATACATACTAGTTGCAAGAACTTTGTTTCAGGAACAATGCACTTCTAAATTGTGAAACTCAGAACCTTTTTTGCAGACTATGTGTGCCTGTGTCTGGGGAGTACACTAGCTCTAAGCTACCTTCTCATCCTCTTGATTCTGGGCTTTTATTTGAATAGTAACTATAGTAATTACAGATACAAAATTTTACCTGAATTAAGAAGGTACAGAAATGGAGATGTTTTCCAACATCTTATTCAGAAATAATTAATTTAAAAGATATTGACGGGCCAAATTCTTTTGCTACTGCAGTGGGGGCATCAAATTTAGATTTCCTCGGGACAAACATTTTTCCTTAATTATTAGAGGTGGTAGTCTTGTGCTTTGCTTCTTCCTTACAGATTCTTTACTAATTTAAACAACCTGGAGCAGAATGGTTAATCACTGGAAGACTCATTTCCACCCTTGTATTAGCTAAGCCTTTCTGGTTGCTTTAAAAAATGGTGTACAGTGTGTGGTGTGGATGAGCCAGTCTCTAAAAGGATGCTGGAAATCAATGAAGCTCCAGGTTATTCACCTGAAATCTGGGATGTTGGCACAGCCCTGGAGTTTGAAAGCATATGGCATCTTCATGCAGTGTGCCTCTGCAATGCCTAACACAGAGTCTCACCATCAACACAACAGCAAACAATAATACAGGTTTAGCTTTCAGATTAAAACATATCTTAAGTGAAAATATAAATTCAGAAACAAACAGAACTCATTTTATATGACACAGAGTCACAGAAAGTGTTTGAAACTGATGAAACCACGCTTTACAGGATTTTGAAACTGTGAGAAAAATCCACAAAAGAGCAGAATGAAAAAGCTAAACCAGTCCTTTTAGTAGGAAAAAAAAAAATCAGTCCCACGAAGGTAGTCAGACTTTTCCTATTAAATTCAGTCAGGCCAAGATTACGAAGAGTATTAGCATCATTGCAGTAAATTCTAGGAATAATATCTGAGAATAGAAAAGGTTTAGATTTGAGTCAATTCAGCTCATCTGTAGAACAGATTTCCTGAAATTGTATACCGGTCCTAATCCCTTCCTAACAGCACAGGAAAAAAAAATAAATCTGAAAACATGTTTATTTCTTACCTGTGCAAATCCATTAAATGCCGTGCTGGATGCCTAAGTAGAAGTGAAAATCAGAACAAATTATCATTTGTTTACTAAACCAGAAGATGAGTCAAAACATTTTTATTTTGCAAATAAAAATGTAGGCCAGACATTTAAAAAAAAAAGAAGAAAAAATAATAAAATGAAGGGTAAGGCAGCAAGAAATTTGATGACAGTGCTATTTGATAACAGGTGTCACAGGCTTAAAGAAAACAATAAAAACAAAAAGCAGAGTAACATGTATTTTTAAAAAATAATACAAAAAGCATTTACAGTTATACATATGGAACACAAAACCTGAGAGACACTATGTGCCTTCACAGTTCAAAGTTTCAGTCACCGTTTTGAAGCATGTTTTTGTCAGCCTGCTTCATTACATGGCTGAAGGGCACCACACTATGAACAGCTGCATGGCAATTTTTCAAAAAAAGAATAGCACGGACTTAGGAAGGGCGGTGGGAAACACACAAATGGATTGTTTTAAACGACAAGGTTATGCCTAAGGAACTCTTTGTCTAGACTAGGCTACACACTGGGGTAGGTACCTCTTCTTTATCAGCCTCAATTTCCTGGTACAACAATCCATATCTCCGGTTAGCAATTTCATCTTCAGATAAATCTGAGTTGTTGGTCTCATTGTCTTTAGGACTAGTTGAACTCTCGGTGCTAGCATTTCTGGAATTTCCCATTTGAAACAGAGCCAAGGGTCTAGCTATCTCCTTGCTTGGTCCAGGATTGTTAATGCCTGCCTGCTCCCCAGGAAAGCCTTGTTTCACTGGTGCCTCCTGACTTCTGTTGCTTATGCTCACACCTACTTCTCCCCAGCTGTTATCAGTCCCTTCTAGGTCTTGTGTAGACCATCTATCACTAATTCCTAACCAACCCTTTTCCAGGTTACCTTCCTCTGAGTCTTGCTGCTTGGGGAAAAAGGGCCAATTATCCAGTCCATTGGCTTGGCCATCTGACACATTAGAAAACCCCCAGGAATCATTAGTAACTGTTGGATCCCAGTTTGCCAGCCAGGGGTCTGTTTCCAAGGCTTCAGGAACACCACTGCTACTAGAATGCTCTTCAGTGACTGCTGCTGATGCCCTACCTGTCACTTGGTCTTCTGCATTACCTAGGCAAGGATTACCACAGCTTGTGCTAGCAGCGTCAGCTGTCTCGGGCAGCAATGCCCATGCTTCTTCAGCAGTAGCTTTACTTTCAGCCACAGCACTACCATTTGGGAGCAGGCTGATGCTATTGTCTTCGTTTCCTTTACCAGACTCTTCTGCACTGAGTAATTCAGCATCACACAGAACATTTCCAGTATCTGTAGGATCCTTTTCTGTGTGGTCAGTTACCTCTAGGTCAACACATTCTGTCATGTTTGTACACTCCATGGATGTACTCTCTCCAGCACCACTGTCAGTTTGGTCTAAGCCATCCCCAAATGTCCTTTCATGGTCCTGATCCCAGATACCAAAGACTTTCTCAGGTTCAGTGTCAGTGCTTTCTGTAGTTTTACAGTTGCTCTCTACTATTGTGTCCCCACCTTCCAGCCCTGTGCTCAACAATGGTATTTCTCCAACTGTCTCCTCAATGACATTGACCCATTTGACTTCTTCCCTAGGGCTTTCTAGGTTAGCACCTCTAGCTCTCCCAGCATCCCCATCATTCTCTTCCAACTCTTGCAAATCTTCTACCTCTGTGCTGGCTAAAATGTCAAGATCTGATTTTGCTAAACTCTTATGAAGCTCTGCCTCACTGTTTCCTTTGGTTTCACAATCTCGCTCTTCCAGTTCCTCTGTACCTTCTACCTCCTTGTAGTGAATAGCTTGAGTCTCTACCTTTTCACTTGGCTCGACACCTGCCCACTCGTCTTCCTCCCGCTCTTCCTCTGCCTTTTGCACATCACATGGGTGGGTTTCATCCAACAAGCTATCAGTCCCCAGGATGGGTGTCTCAAAACTGGTTACGTTCTCTAAAGGCTGATTGGTCACCACATCTTCCCGTGGGACAGTTTTGGCATCCAACTGGTCCTCCAGTGAAGTCCTCTGGTTTTCACTTACAGAAGCTGACCCTGGTGCAGCATCCTCCTGCTCTCCTACAGCAGGCCAAACACTAGCAGGCAGAGCACCCGTGGATTCGCTTGAGGTTTGCTCTGCCCCAGGTAAAAGCAAAGAACCGCCTGCAGTAATTTCCTGGCTGACACTGGATGTGCTAACATCTAGGCCCCAGTTGAGTGAACCTAGATCACTTTGAGATCTGTTAATATCTTCTGATGACCCACTGTTTGGGGTTTCCTCCATGACCAGGTTACACAGGGAAAGACTTTTTGAAGAATCAGGCTTTAGGCAGACAGAAAAGCAAAGAAAAAAAACACAAGATGAAAAAGATAAAGGAGGATTTGATGAGAAAACACAAAACTTATATTTTACTAGAGCAATTTTAATTTAAAGAAGGAAAGTAACTAAAATAAGCCATTTAACGAAAAACTATGTGGTTTGCAACATTTGGAGGCAATAGACTGCAATGTAAAAGAGCAGCAATGCTACACAACACCAGAAAACTATATATTACATCACACTGACTAAAGCATGTCTCTAGAGTGGTTGCAATTTTGTGGGGAGGTTGCTTACCGGCTGCACCAATTCGCTGCTTGTCTGTATAGAAGAAAATCATACATATGAAACACAGAAAAGAAGACATGAGGTCATCTGTTAGAGCAGCAGTTAGTTAATTAACAGTTCTCTAACCAGCAGCAGTTACCAAATTGGTGTGGGGAAGGAGTAGCAGGTTCTCTCTTGCCACTTCGCAGAAGACTAATCCCGACCCCTGAGTTTAAGCCACATTTCCAGCCTCTGCATTACATTATAAAATAAGTTCTACATGTATGTTGGATATTTATCACACCATACTTTCCTCCATGAGCCACTGATAATTTTATCATAGGAACCTTATTACATCTTGATTAAAAAGAGGGGCTGCTCTGGGTGGCATTGGGGCTTATTTATTTACAATAAGGCGTCACTGCATCACCCGGGCTGTGCAGAGTGCCCTGAGCTTGCAGCTCCAATCCTCCATCACCCTGTGCCATACAGAGGCATTTGCATCCACACAGAGCGAGGGTCACAAAGCCTGCTGTCTACACTGCCACTCTGAACAGATACAAATACTGCAAGGAAGAACAACAGTCTGCACTCAACTTATTAAGAGAAACTCAGTAAAATGTTGAGTATCCTTAATTTCAAACATTTAGCTGTGAAGCTCACTACTCTGTTTTTTTTAAACTTGAGCAAAGAGGAAAATAATATAATTCAGAATACATATATATTATTAACAAGCTATAAAGAAAACTGTGTGAAAGGAAGACATTGATAAAGCTATCTAATATAAGTTTAAAGCAATAAATTCAAAACATTTCTGGGTTATTTTACCTGGTCTAGATATTGGCAGCCTTGAAATTTTGGCTAGTCTAGCATACGTGACTGTTTTTTTCAGGCTTTATTTAACCTTTTCCAACAGAAAGAGATGAGCATTTAATATACATCACACAAACAACGTGTTCCCATAACAATGCTGCAAATCTAAATGTATGAGAAGCATCCACAGATTTCTGTGCTGGTTGAAGCTGCAAAAGGTCAAAAACGAGCATAACAGGCTTCACGTCAAGTCAACCCAGCTGTCTCCATGACATAAAGTCAAAGAAAAGCTCACGAAAATGAGTTGTTTTCTTCCTGCAGATCATTGTATCTGATTTGGCACCAGGAGGAAGAATGATCATGCAGTTTCCTAAAGTAGCAGCTTCTTTTGCGATTAACTCCAGTTCACTGTATGCTCACAAAGACAAGTTAAATTTTCTCTTCACTCCTGAATTTCGAGAAAATGTATGTCCACTGTGTTGAAGTCCTAAGGAACTACACCTTCAGATAATTAAAACAGGTGACTAGCATCTATTTTTACCCTCTAATAGCTGTAATTCAGGCATGAGAGTAAAAGCAACACACATTTAGCTCTAATGATTGTGAATCTTATTAGCCTAGATTTCTGACATCATTTAGGTTTTGTAGGCCAAGCAACAGAGATTATTTTTTGTTGTTGTTGGCTTTAAAAGATCCCTAGTGGCTTCATATACTTGAAAGTGTTTGTCATGGTCTGTAAATTGGCTTTTGGTAAAAGCACTGTAAATCTGCGTTTAGGGTGTTACAAAATCAGAGGCACAGAAATATCCCAATTCACAATGACAAATGTCAGGCTTACCGTCCATAGATCCCATGGCAATGTCTGAAAAAAGGAGTGGAAAAAAGAGACTCTTAGAAAAATACTGTTCTTATACTGTATGTTCAACATGCTACATACCTGTGTGCATTAACAAGAGCTAACTTATTTATATGTATAATATGTATATATATATTATATATTAGCACGTGTGTGTGGGTATCTGTCTGCATAAGACACTTTTTGGTTAAATAGGATGGGCAGTATGTGGTGGATTGTCATATTTCCCACTTCAAAGTAGCTGCTGCTTTCCAGCACACTCACACCGCCGTGTGCTTGAGTAACAGTCGGGTTCTGAGGTGGTGACTGAATGGCTTTCAACAGGTAGAGGAGTCTCTGCTAGGGTAAGCTTTAAAGAGCTTGCATAGGTCAGGTTTTCAGCCAGTTAAAAACCAAGAACAAGTGGGTTTTCTGATACCTCTGACACCAGGAAGGAAAACAGCATCCTTTCTGGGAAAGAAAACAAGCAAGTTGACTAATGATTTCACTTTTTTGTCAAGTCTGTTAAGTAATAAAAGTTAGTGACCTCTCAGCAGAGGAGCTGAGTAGACAGATGAAAGAAAAGCAGCAGTCTTCATGCCAAATATTAATAGCCCACCACAGCAGAAGGAACTCTGCTGGTTGGTCCCAAAAGCTGTCTGAGATGCTTCAAAAAGTATCTACTATATTCACACCTAGGTTAGAGTCCACGAAAATCGAAAAATAAAGATGTTTATAAAGTAAAATGTAAAACTGTTCCTGAAATATTTGCAAATCTTAAATGTGACATCTAACATCTGCCTGAGAGAAAGGATTTCTGCATTTAATTTCTTTTCTTGCCTGCTTCTTATTTTGTAAGAATGGTTCTCTGAACAACTTCTGCTTCAACGAACAAGAGACACAGTAGTAACTCACAGCTTTACAGCAAATTAGCAACAACAGACATTTCTCAATCAGTTTAATTTTGTTTAAGTCCAGGTACGTGCTACTTCTGTGGATGCAATTTATAAGTGCACCTGCTTACTCCACCGTAACATTATTAACTGAACATTCAAGATTTAAGGAAAAATGGTAGGTCTGCTCTTATAGTGCTAACTGGTACAAACCTTAGACGGCCTACTGACTTTCATGGAAGGAGAGATTGCACATTTTCCGATTTTTTCATTTTCCTTTCATTGCTCGTGAGACTTTGAGCATGAGGGGGAATGAACAAACTGAAGGAAAGGTGAGACAGACCACAGCTAGCAAAGAAAGGTGAGGGTCAGCCACATTTAGAAAGGCCACTTCTGAAGCAGCCATGGAAACAGAAAATCAAGTTAGAAAGGGAAGACTGGGGCTCACTTACTGTGGTCTGATCTCGCTGGCAGAGCAGTGGAGGAATGTAACTAATTAAATGATCAATAGGGAAGTCATGCCAGGCCTCCTGAGGCATCATGGCACAGATGACTACTTGTGTCTTCACATCACTACTTCAGCAGTTTGCTGAGCTGAAAATATCCGTGACTGAGGCAAAAACTATACACAGATAGAAATATCACTTAATGCTCTCTTATTCTCCCAGCAGTGTAGCACTGGGCTCTCCAAAGACTGCAACTACAAGTTTCATTCTGTCTATGCTGCCATAGCAATAACCTTGCCACATCCAGTGAGACCAAGACCCAGACTGCAGGGGTGTCTTCCCTTCTTCTAAAAACGTGGTGCTCTGACTCACCCACATGCTCTTGTGAATGTGGACCATCCTTTCTCATATACTATGTTGGGAGAAAGGTGAAAGGAGAGGAGAGACTGAAGGTGCTCAGTGAATGCTTCCTATGCACCTAGATGAAAACTTACAATGTACTTTTCTACATGGAATTCTATTCTGTATTTCATGGTGCAGTTGAATCTAAAATAACTCTTTTTCACTAAGCTAATAAACTCTTCTACAATCCGTACAATATGATGTCGGGACAAATGTCCTCCATCACAAATGTTAAACGGCTTTGGTTTAATGATCTCACTGCTCTGATAAACATTATTACAAGACAAGCTGAAAAGGCAGAGTTAGCAAAGTCACAGCTAGAGTTTTCTGTCACTGCTGAATGCCAAAGAGTCCCCTTCCCTTTCCTCTTCCCTGTTTAGAGAGATCAAGAAAAATAACAAGAAAAATGCCCAAAGCTTCTGCTGTAATTAAACACTTCTCCTGGCAAACCACAATGAGAAATTCCAGCTAATGTTTGGAGTGCTGACAATACGCTGGCTTTCTGACAGTACATAACCCATCAGAGATCACTACAGATCTCATTACATAACTAGGACTGCACACCAAAAAAGAAATTAATTGAGGAAGAGATCAGCAGAGAACCAGGACTACTTCAGTCTTAACGCTTCTCATCTTCTCACTCCTTTCCCAGTGCTGCATTCCTGAACAGCTGATTAGTCCTCTCATGCTCACAGTACAATCCAGGTTAGTGACAGACACAGGGATAACAGGTTTTGTGAACAGTGTCTTAATACTGTTTCCTTCTCGGTGTACAACACCTAGCTACAGCTCCGCTGTTCAGGAGAACCTCCCCACTGTAGTATCAGCCCTATGGGTATTGAGAGCAAGTTCTGGAACTTAAAATAGCAGGTCCCTTAGGGTAAGCCAATGAAAATCAGCAACTTGATATATCAGCCTTTTTTTTTTTTTCCCTTCTTTTATTTTTCTTCTTTTTTTTTCCACACTGCTGCAAGAAACTTCCATGGCAAATATTACCACAGAATGCAGAATTTCTTTAACACAACATCCTGCAAGGAAACATACTATTCCATCCTCTCATTTTCCTTGAGGTTAGGTCTAAAATAGATTTATAAAAGCAAAACCACTCAGATTATATCCACTGCTTGGTATAGAAACTCCATCACAGCAAAGCAATTGCATGCTGACTCCACAAGACCTAGGACCTGAGGCATCTTTCCAGACATGAAGAGTCAAAGCCAGGTCAGAAAAATTGTCAGAAAAACAGGTGCTGGAGAATTATAATGTTGGCACTAAGAGTTATTCTAAAGATGGAAAATAACTGCATGCCAAAGTCATGGCCATGGTCCTCCATCCATCCTCACTGGCAGATATCTCATTTTACCACCTGACAACTTCCTTTCCTCCCAGTACATCATCAAGTACAGGGCTACTGAAGGGGAAAGATAGATGGCTGACTAGAGCTGCTCAGGAAGATCAAGTTTTTCAGACACCACAGATACACTGCTCATTAGTACATGAGGCAAATTGTTGCTACCAAATACAGCACACTGCATTCATATGCTTCGCCGACCTCAAGGCAAAGAGATACCTGAGACATGGGTGAATGAGTGACTCCTGTTGATACAACTTCTGGCTTGAAAGGGTCGAAGTCCAAATCTAGCAAAGATTCTTCTTTTTTAGCTTCAGGAACTTCATTCTGTTAGAAGAGAAACACAGCTCTTGAAAAACTTATATTTCAAAATCTGCCCTGGGCAGCAAAATATTAAGAGGCCAAAGGAAAAAAAAAAATTAATATAAAAAAAAAAAAATCACAGACTTTCTAGCTATGGTACAAGCCAGGAGGGGAGGAAGCACTGAAGACCTTCCTGAGCTTTAGCATAACTTTAAATTTTATTTTCATGGGCTTCACTCTCATGATGCCTTTCTCTGCAGTACAGCTTTGTCTTTTCAGGCTAAACAAATCGCAGCCTTTTTGAAAAAGTGCTGAGTGTTCACCATTTGACTGTGAAGGCCCTTTTAAAGCGATTTGAGACAGATACCAAAATTAAAAGCTACATAAATGGCACCCAATGTCCATACATTCTAATAACTGAATCTCTCCCCAAACACTATCATTAGTAAAAAGCCAATATAGAAGGACACAAATGCATTTGAATTAAATTTCAGTTCTGAAAATGAATACAAATTCACATTTAATGCAGCCTTAGCTCTAAACTTCAAGAAACACCTTACCTAACACTAACTAAATCTTGCTACGTTGATCTGCTCTTACAAAACCAGGTTATGTGGTAGAGCCTTTTTTTGTTTGCAATTAATGAATTAGCCAAGGCCTCTGAGGTTACTATAGATATATATATATATTGGTTCAATGGGCTACAAGTCTTTCCCACTGTAAAATAACAAGAATAAATAATTAGCATGCTTCAACATAAAATTTTAATTAGTGTGAAACTGTAGATGAGATTTAATTATCACTAATGATAAATATTCTAAGCAAGCATCTTGGCTGTGGTAACAAAGCTAGTACTGCCTACTGCTAGTTGTTCAGTGTTTATTAAATAGTGAGAGAAGTTTGTCTTTTGATGTACAGAATATGTAGATAGGAAGGTATTTATCAGGGTGTATTTTGCAAGGTGTTCAGATTAGAAACGGTACCATGGGAAATTATTTTTACACATACGTTCGCACGTAATCTTATGTAAGAATGGTAACACTGGGTCAGACCACACAGTCCTGTCCTGTTCCTGACTGTGACCAAAGTGTATGCCAGGGGAAGTCTACAACTGGGCAGTCACAAGAACAGCAAAACCAGAAGATAATAGTAATGATGATAATAACAATACCAAAATAATCAAACAAAGCTTTTCTATTATTAAAAAGTTTAAGAGTGTAAACTCTCCAAATTACTGTTACTATTGGTAAACATGTTCAAATATAGGTAATTAATGGCTTCCATATGACACAAGACATCTGAGCTCTCCCTGTCACCCGAAAATGTGGTCAAAATAGCTCCTCAGCTCTCATTCTAGGAATGACAGAGTCACCTGGAACTCTTCAGTTTGGAAGAGGAATGCTAGGGGTGATGTGAGCAGGGTCTACACCAGTGTGAGGGGCGTAGGGGTTTGGCTGCTCCATGACTCCTACAAAGCATGAGGGCAGGTGGCAGTGAAGTTGATGGGGGCAGACGTGGAATAAAGAAAAGGTGGTGGTGTTCCACGTGGTACAGAGTTCAGCTGGGGACTCCTTGACATCAGGCAGTATGAATGTGAAAAATTTACAAGTCCTTGAGCTCCAAATGGCTGGAGGCTGGGAAACTATAGGACAAGTGGGTATACAGAGTACAACTTTACTTGCCTTGTTTTATATTCTTCCCTTGGCCTCTGCTTTTGGCCACTGGTGATGACAGATACGTGGTCTGACACACTGAAGCCACTGTTATGGTTTCACACTTTAAAAAGTAGAAACCAAAACATCCCTTCCCACCAGTTAACCAGCATTACATCAATTCTGTCATAGCTTTTATCTGATGTATTTAGATTTCATCACATATGCCTCTGAGTCCCTAGTACTCATATGGTCATACAGCTTGATGAAACAGCACAACATAGCATATCATCAGAAAATGATGGAGATGGAAAAGTTAATTATCTTTCAGTGAGGTTCCAGAATGAAGTTGTTATTTATGAGGACTGAATCAAATGAATAGGAGTCTCACTTAGGCCATGTGTGATGACAGTTAAGGTTTCTGTAGTGACAGGGTACTGAAAAGTGAATGCAAAATTTACCGCTACCTGTTACCCTCAGATCAAAGTTAAGAGAACACTTGCCATAACTTTAGCAGCAAAGACAGGAATAAACATATAGAGTAACTGAGATATCACACTAGATGGAGATTTAGGAGAAACAGGAACCTCAGGACATCCCTTGAAAAGGGACAAAGCTGTGACAGGAAGGCCTGTCAATCATCCTATGTTAATTCCACCATAGGACAACTAAGTACAAAAAAATGTCACATTTGAAAGAGGTTGGTGTGGCAGAAGCAAGGCTGTACCTCTCTGAGGACATGTATGCACAAGGGATGGAGAAGCACAAGAAACCTGCAAGGACCACCAGAACTGCCAACCCCTCGCTGCACACAGTCTGTACAAGCCTTAAAATAGCCCTAGCAGATATGAGTTGCTCATTTCAGAGCTGTTGGACACACGCAGACATGTTAAGTACCTGGAGTGGACATATTGTAAATGCCTACAATGTCCAAGCTAGTAACTCAACACTAGGGATCAATGTGATGTGAAGAAGACAAGAAATAAGGCAAGGAGCACTCATCTTTAAATGATCCTTTCATCTGGTCACCCAGATATCACGTCTTCTCACCTCTTTCTTTTACTTGCCAGTAATTAAATCTATTCTTGGCAATGAATAAACTGGAAGTGTGAGCTGCTTTGTTGAATCAGGGCCAAAATATTCAACAGCATCAAGCAGAACTGCCTTCCAGCATCTTGCACAACGCCAAATGCATTAGTACTGCTTGGTAAAGAAAGATGAACAACAACAATTACAGGCTATTTGTGTTCCAGAGGAGAAAAGTGTTTGGCCTGTTCGTAATCCTCTCTGAAACATGGGATTAAAGCAGCAAAGCTCTATTCATCAGCCTGCTGGTTTTGTGCCTCTGCGTGAGCACACCAGGGACACCAGCGGTGGTCTTTTGAGAAGTCCTGCACCATTAGCGGGCTCTGCAGGCTCAATAGCTCCCTCCACACTGCCCAACTCTGGGAGTATGGGAGATGCCATGAGCACCAAGAAGAGTATGTCCATGTTTCCTGAGAATTTCATGCAATATTTTCAATCACTGGTTCTCTTACAGAAGGATATAAAACCTGTACATCACACCATCCAGGTTTGCCTGTGCATACTCGGAGATCTTACATATAGTAAGGATGCTTTAGGGATGGGGGTGGGTTTTGTGGAGGGAGAAGGGCAGATCAATCATTAGAAGGTGACCAGGGAATTGCTTAGGTCATTCCCAGGTCATTGACTGTGGAGGAGGGAACAACATGAATCACTCACTGAAGGGAGATCAATTTTTTCTTGAGAGACAAGGGAAAAATTTCACATCTCAGAAGCATGCCCTACCTTTATTTTACCATTCAATTTTTATACCAGTCTCTCGTAGAAAGGATGTAAAGGTTCTGGAAATGTGACTTACACTTATTTAAAGCCCTGTTCCAGTGTCAGCTCTTAATGGAAAAGCAAACCAGTTCCTTTTCTGCTTCCCTGGCTGGCTTGACATGTGAAGGTTTGGTAGATACAGGGGGCCATATCCAGCACAGGTTACACCGACTCTTACCACTGATGTCAAGGCTCACACTGCCAGAGTGATAATTCCCATGAAGTCAGGGTACAATGATGCAACAGACCTGCAATTTCCCTTCAGCAGGAGGGCCCAGCAGCGGCTGCATACTGGGAGCTGCCATTAATTCTCATTAATTGCATGGGGACTTAACTATAAATAACTCTTTTCTCTTCCAAACAGATCCCTATGGATGGCAATGCCTTTTTCTCCCCTCCACAGGAAAACAAAACATCACATGTTCAAATTCTCTAAAATAATTTTGTTTTTCACTGCTGTGCCTACATTCTCCTGTGTTGTCAAATGAATTAGCACAAACACAATAATTCACATGAAAACAACAACTCATAAACATTCTGCATAAGCTTCAGATCTGCATGTTTCTCCCCAGTCTATCAGACACAGGCTCAGAGTTGTAATTAACATAATAGAAATGGTCCATTGTTGAACAACCAGCAGTTATCATAACTGCATAAAAACTGAATAACTGAATACAAATTATACTGACTTATTTCCCAGCTCTGGCTTTTCTGTTTATGCAATTTTAAAAGATTTCATAACTTCATAATAATGAGATAAAAGTAATTTTGATCACTCCTCTGCTGTGTAACTACTGTTTCTATGAGTCAAAACCAAGTAAATGAATAATCTAGCTGAAGCAGTCTTTTATACCTGCAAAGTTGATTAGAACAGCCAAGTTCCTTTATTTTTAAATCACTCAAAAGAAAAAAGGAATACTTTTTATGATTTTGATTGAAGAGACAGATATAATGAAGGATCACTGTAAAATGCCACTTGAGATGCTTAGGAATAGGAAAAAGCATCTTAGATGAACTCTCAGCTTGTAATGCAACCTGGACGCAGTTAAATCTGAAACATGGTTGCTTCACAGTATTTTTAGTCGGGCCTCTCAGGAAAGCTCTAATGTATTTCAATATGTTAGCAATGTTAGCCCTTTTGAGAGATTATGTGTGGCCTATTCAAAGATGAAACATGCTATGTGTGACCCTCTGAAGAGAAAATAAAATGGTAATTGTGTCTCTGCCTTCTACCTGCACCCTCCTCCTCCCTCCCCATAGAGATCAGCCCCAAAGGCCACTATCTTGGAGAACTGAGGGTTATTGCAAGGTTGGACCCATACATCATCCTCTGAAGCTTACCTGTGATGGGGTTGTCACATTGATTTCTGGGACAAAGTTGTCATCAAAGAAGTTAATGATGTTCTCCTGCTGCAACTCCTTGGTGGGAGTGAGTTTAGGCAGTGGTGGGACTGGTGGACCTTTCCTCAGCTAGACAGACAGCAAAAATGTCACAGACTAGTTCAGGGGTAAAAGAAACAGCTTTAAGCTAGGCCTAAACAATTTGTGTTAGGTTTTTATCTCTGCTGCTTCACCTTAAATGTGGGAATAAGCCATGGGTTCAAAGGAACTGTTCGGTTGTTCGCCACCAAATGCCTTGAAATAAACATTGTGGGAAAAGCAAAACAACTTCATGTTTCAAACTCATTCCGACTCAAAGTTTAAGATTTCATACAAAAGCATTTCTTGGCTGATATTATTCTGCTGTGACAGGCACACAGTACAAGACACTTCCTCTCCTACGCAGGCCATAGTTGGAAGGGCAATACTGCACAGAACCAGGTCTCTGCAGCTTTTTGGCTTCTTAAGTTAATTCTTGTTTAGCTTTGGGATTTTGTCCCTGCCCACCTGCCACTACCTTTAAAGCCTACTTAATGCTAAGACCATATCATCTCTCGGAACCAGCGCACCTCGAAGGTGCTTAGGTTATTAATTCTCCCTGCTCTCCAGAGATTCACATAACTATGACAAACTAATTACTTGGAATAATACCAAGGACTATTGGATAACTTTAAAATCTGTCAAAATACCAAGAAAAAAAAAATCCAGGAAAAATCCTAAGGTGCTATAGTGACATATCACCGTTGACACCAGTACGACTAAACTGAGTCCTAGCAGATGAATGTTCAGGCGGTGAGGTGTCACACTGTGGGAGACCAGAGAAAACAAATGTGCTTACATGTAACTAAATGCAAAATTACATTTCTTCTGATGTGCTCCCACCATAGAAACAGCAATCAGCATTCCCAATTCTGAAAACATCAGCAACATCAACACAAGTCTGATATATTCAGGAAGTACCACATACAACTCTTATGCTACAGATAAAACTGATGCATGAAACTGATTCTTATTTCACCAATACTGGTGAGAATAGAAATGACTCCAGTGACTCCAACAGCATCAAACTTCTCAATCCAGTGATAATAACAACCAATAAACTTTCAGTTATCAGTAATTATCACGGAAGTATTTAAGTTAACTGTATTATTTACTGTTTTAGAGGCTGACCAGACCAGTGATACTCACTGGCCAGTTTTTTTCCAGGGTAAGCATAAATTTGTGAATGAACAAAGAGCAGAAACATATAATGTACTGAAATTCACAAGGAGGTTTTAGAAATATGTTTTTCAAACTATCACTGCCAGGATATGGGCACTTAGAGACACTGCAACATTTTCAGAAGTGTTTTGCTTTGTCACCACAAGTCCCTCCAGTTCACTAGGCACATTACATTTTTTTATCCCCCCTTACTTATATAAAAGCCACTTTCCACCCATGCTCATGACACAGGGATAAACAACCAGTGAACGGAACAGAGTGCAACAGAGCCAGTGGCCTCCCTGACATTTCTCAGTCACAGCCTAGATGAAAAAAATCTACCACATACATTGTCACAGCTGTCTTTTATCACACAACAGGCCAGTTTCCCCTGCCAGGTTTCCACCTACCTGTGTCGGTGACTTAGGTCGGGCTGGTGCTGGAGATGCTGGTGCCAGCATATGATTGGGACTAGCAGTAGGGCTGGGCAGGGGAGAGACCTCCTCTGGTGGTGACGGTGTTTTTGCAATGCGGAGCGGACCTGAGTCACTAGACAGAAGCAAAGCAATGGCGAGGATATACATACCATGCTGACTTATTACCTTGACAATTTGATATAACAGTTGAACTGTATCCCTGCTGTAATGCCAGTGACCATAAAAGGCAGTACACACTGGAGACAAACTGAGCCATTTTATAATGACCAAAACTAAAATTGAAAATAAATTAAATTAAAATTCAATGATCCGCAGTGTCAAAGGAAGTTTTAATTTTGAGTGATCTTGATTTTTGGAACATCTGTTTACCTGATCATTGTAACTCGATGGAAACAGAATACCCATATTTTTTCACATTCTGTATTTGGAATAATGTTTCGTATATGTTCGTAACTAACATAAAATGTGAGATGGAATTGTTGGCTTCATTTCACACAGTTCTCAGAATAAAAGGGTCTAAAGATAAAACCCCCCAGGGAAGGCATAACAATGAATAATGCAAATAATTTTAAAAGCTCAGCAACTTGAGGAAGGTTTCAATAAAATAAAACACAACCAAGATTATTACAAAGATATCACTATTTAGAGAGACAACTCACCACAACTACAAACAAGCAGTAGTCAAGTGACTTCAACAGAGCTCTGCTGAAGTTCTGAGAAAGGATCTGCCCTTCCCATGAAAGGACCTTGTGCAAACACTGAGACATATTCAGCTACCTAGAAATGCTGAAAGCTTACAACTCGGGGAGGCTATAAACTACAGCACTCGACTACCACAGTACTGGATAAGATAAGAGCAACTCCTACACATCTTCAGGGAGAACAGAAGCGCTACCTGATTGAGGAGACCACGCCGTAAACATGTTCCTAATGCTAACACAAATAAAATTTGTTCTTTGCAAAGGACAATTTAGCTCACACTCACCACCTCTTTCTGTGGAAATGTTAAAAAAGAAAAAATAAGCAGTTATTAAGAAATTTCTTTCCCAGATACAATATTTGCCTTCAGGATAGAGTAGTCAGTAGCATATGAGTTTTTAAGATGTTTCTTTTTATACAGTTCTTTAAAGGAAAGATTAGATACTGTACTTGTCTAGCATCAATTTCTCATGCATCTAAAAAGGAAAGCTGTTTTATCTCACAAAGACCCCCTCCTGAGTAGTCTTCTAGAGCATCAAAACTAGTAATGTAAGTCAAAACCTACCCAGATTTTCACACAAGGCTCTGTGATCAGTACAGCAAAACAGGGTAACACGGTAACTAAAATAATAATAATGTATTTTAAAAAAACATTTTCAAAATAAGTTAAGAAGATCACACCACACTAACCCATGCCTACTTGTTTGCCGGAACAATTATTCTTTTTTTGTCTCATTGATGGAATGAGTAGTTCAGTGGGAACAAGCATGTGCATGCTGGACATGGTCTAGGAGACACAGGTGGACAAAATACCTGTTTATTACGAAAACTCTTTGAAGTTTTCTAACACTACCTTATTTTTCATCCCATAAAAGTATTTTACAAATCCTTTATGGAAACATAGTCCAGCTCCTGAGTCCATCCTAAAGGGGCTGGGAGTGGTGATGCATGAGCTAACAACTGCAGAGGCAGCATGTAAGTATATATGAGCATGTATTAACACTGAACTTATTTTAAAAAAAATTAAATTTGGACACATTCTTAATAAAGTAGATTGAAACTTGCAAACAAACAAATGTAGAAATATCAGCCATATGTTTGAGGCAGATGTTATGCTGCTTGCTCAGTCTTAGTTGTTGCTAATCTGAGTCCACCTTGAGGGCAAACTTGCAGTAGCTATAACATTGTTCAGATTGCTTCTGGATTGGCTGGAAATATGGGATCTATGTATTCACTCTAAATGTCATCATGTTTTGATAAATCTCACTGTTTTATAATTTCAACCTCTTTTGCCTATGATTATTACAGTACTGAGAGATCATGTTATGGCAGAAAGGCTACATTTGCTGCAAGCAAAATATCAGAAATACCGCACTGGCATCCACAGACCTTAAGAAAGCACCATCTGATTTTGAACTTTTTTTTGCTTTTGGTTTTATTTTAAGAGAAGACTTCTCTTGGAAGTCATTGAAAATATGGTATTTTGTGACATTCTTTTTACTTCAGCTTTTCAGCTGCACTCAGATCACATTTCTTGACTTTTCCCCATGAGCAGAAGAGATAAAAGCTGACTTACAAAAAGGATTCTCACCTAATCATATGCCTTTAGGAGCTAAAAACACATCTAAATATTTCAAGGCTTTAAAAAAGAATTATGAGAGTTAGCAACACTGCTGTAAACCAAACATCTAAGAATAAATGAGCTATAGCTCAGGTGGTGCAAATTGGTGTAACAGCCTACAATGAACTAGGCTAAACTGCAACAGCTGAGAACCTGGCCTTTACTCTTGTTTTGAAAGGAAAAATAAGTGGTGATGAAGGAAGTTTTTCACCTTTACTCATGCTGAGAAAAACTTTATCCAAGGTACCTTCATCTAGCATCCTGAACGAACAGACCCAGTGACCCTTTTGTGCAGCAACCCCTACACATGGTGCAGGCAATTACTACATATGCTGAAAACCACAAAGTCTACTGCAGTGCAGTTCATTCAGAAAAGCAATAAATTCACCTTGGTGCCCCTTGAATGGTGAAGGCCTTGTCAGCGTGCTGATCTCCCAGCTTCGTCATCACTTCATATAGTTTGTGACATAGCTGAAAAAACAAAACACTTGCCTGAGTTTGTATGAAGCACTACCATCATGATTAAAACCACAGGTGATAAATCTGGTCTGATAACAGATAACCTGTTAATATATAATCTGGTAACTTTAAAATGGCATCTAGATCCTTCCAAAAATACTCAGTGCCATGTATATCAAAAGCCTAAGTGGAACTTTATCAAAATCTACAAAATCAAAGGTAACAGCAGTTCTTCAAAAATATAAGCTGGTTTTTAGAGAACAAGTTTATAAGTGCGACTGACTGCTGCTTGATCTCTGATGAAGGAGGTTGCCTGAAGTTTAAAGCAACACAGGTAGCCAAGAAGACTGATGTTTTCCCCTCAAAAACCTATTCCCAGTTTACATGGGACTTCAATCAAGTGAGTTTTCCAAACAATTTTGGTTCCTATTAGAAGGTTACTATAGATAATACACTACCACTTTGCAAGGTACATTCAGAAGATCCTCACTGAAACTGCTTGATTTGCCTAACAGTCACAGATATAACATTGCATTGCTGACAATATAGCAGTCCTGAAGGGAATTATTGACATGGTTTTCTGGTACTGATTAAAGCAATGGGATGCTTAGCAATCGGACATGGAAAATATACTGATGGCAACAGTATGCTAAAAAGAACGGAGAAGTTATAAAAATAGAAAGGGAATTTAGTGCTACAACGGATAACGCACTGTAATCCAAAAGTGTTCCTTAAGGAGAGTACAAAAATGGCAAGTAAAAATGAATACAAACATTATACTACAAATGTGGATCTAGGGCAAATTTTTATGTGTGCCTCTGCTAGATTTTTCTTGCTGCATTACATGACAGTTGCTTGCCGTTACACATATCACATAAGTCATTACACACAAGATAGTAATTTTTACTCACTAAAGCTATTTCCTTGTGAAACTTGGCTTCGAGGCTGGATACATTTTTGAAGGTGTTCACATAGAAGCCAACTCGTCTACAGAGGACGGCACAAAGAAAGGAAAAAGAGAATAAAGGATAGGGGTGGGAGGGCCACAAAGGCAAATTTATTTTTTTTTTTCCAGATTACAAGCAACAATCTTGACTATTACTCTCAGCAAAGCAAATAATTGGATCAAATGTCAAAATTTCAGACTAGTTCGTTCATCATTATTTCTGTTTGTGTTAAGAACCATCCTATTTCACACTGCACAGCGTGAACCGAGCTGAGACTACTCCACAGCAGGGGGCTTCAGCTTGTTTTAGAGAAGGGGAAGACTGGAAAAGGATTGTCATGAGTGCGGCACAAGCACATGGAAGGCAAGGTGCTCTGCGCACCCTGTGTCCCACCGGACAGCAGGCAACCGTTGACTGAAAGGAGGGAGGTACCACTCTGGCACTGTGTGTGCCTGTGCCCTAGATGCTATCGCAGCACCAAGGGGATGCGGGTGCGTCTGGAGGCAGCTCGAAGGTATACAGCTCACTACGGCCTGCGGGTGGGTGTCCCATGCTCAGTCCTCCTTATATAAATTAGCCCTGAAATACATGCATATGTATGTAAGAGAAAATAATTTCTAATACAGGCACATCCAGTCAAAAATCTGCTTGCTTACGGTGAGTGATTACATACCTCTTGTATACTTCGAAAGTAGAACATGTTTTTTTTAGGTTTTGAATGATTCTTTTTCCTATTTAAAACTTTCATGTGTAATTTCTCCAAAATTTTATTAACAAAAATAATCTTTGGCATAAGAATAAACCTGCAAAATGTCAACTCAATGGCTTATTTTCTTCCTGAAGTATTGTAGTAACTAAAAAAAAAAAGGACTCTGAAAGCAATTGCTTTCTAAATTATGCCTGTTGCTCAAATTAAATTATTTCTCTGAGACTAGTGGGCAACACATATTGAAAGAAAAGGGCCGTTACTCTAAATCATTCATATGAAGTTTGACTTTTAGTAAGCCCATAAAATAAGTATCTGGAAGTGCTAAGAAGCTTTTCAACTGAAATAGGCAGAAAGATGGCAGAAAAAACTTCTTTTGATCTGAAATTTAACAGGAAATAATTTAGAAGGAAGAGAAGACAAAGGGTACTTCAGTGACTCACAATACATTTCCACTCCAGATTGCATTTGTTAAAGAACATAGCACACTAATGAGATGCTTATTTTTCTACTGCTTTTGTTCTCCAGTTCATTTTGTTTGCATTTTCTGTATATACACAATTCACAATTAAACATCTCAAATGAATGATCTATGCCATCAAATGCTTTTATACTGCAGACATAGTCAGTGCACTATGAAATGTGCATCCTGATGTGGCAATAATGCTGGTTTTCCCTTCTACTGCTTTGGTAGTATCTTATAGGAACTTGGAAACAACAATTCCCATAAAATCTTTATACATTTGTAAGGTTCTTTGTTTTGATACCTTTTACAGAAAAATTACCTATAAGTAGACTCATTGCAAATCTAGGAATGCATGAGGCTGCTCTGTACAGTTACTTTTGACACTGGAAACATTTGATTCTTTTTATTTGTTCTTGAAAGGATCAGGTATCCAACACCAAGGTGTCAGAGAAAGGTTATAGAAGCAGTGGGTCATCGTCGCAATCTGCCATTCTGTGCTCTGACACAGTTCTTTACCCATAAAATGTTTTGCACCTCAGAATGAAGATACATTAATGATTCTTAAATGTCAAGATACACTGAAAGGAATAAGCATAAATACCTTCCAGCAAGTATAATTTTGGATCATTTGCAGGTATTTTCCCTTTTATTATTTCAAAAAGATAATGGATGGGATCTTCAAGGAGCCATCACACCATTTTCTATCAGCTCATTAAAATTTCCTGGTTCCCTTTCCCTCTTTAGTCCTTCCAGACAGCATCTGCCTAGACTCACCGTGACCACAGAGATGGCAACTCTTCTTGTAAATCGGTGTTAAACTCTTCAAACACTTTCTGTGCTTTCTGAAATTCTTCTTCTGCCTAAACCAAAATGAAACAGGGTGACTTCTGCAATCACTATGACATAGAAAAACCTTCCAAAATTGTTTTTGTGCACCTTTTTTGTGGGTCTTTTACAATTTTTATTAACGACGGATGTGACTCAGTCCCATGTCATGCAGGCTGGCCAACACAGGACTTGCTGTCCCCTCATACTCATCAAGAAAGAAGGTTAAGGCTCAAATTGGACTCATTCCTGAAAGAGGCTGAGCATGCCCTCCACAAGCACCAAAATACTCAATACACATTTATACTTAAGGCTATCATTATTTCCATTTCTGAGAGAAGAAAAAGAAGAGAAACTGTGCTCTGTTTCTGCACAGAAACAACTGCCACCCAAGCTCCCTAAGTCTTCTGCCAGCACCCTTCTGATTGTGCTACCTTGGTAATTCTGCCTTCGTCTTTCCTTTTTGAGCTCTGCAGGGCTTCTAGATGATGTCTTGCACTGTCGTAGTCCACTAGCTTTCTGCTTCGTTTTGCAATGCGAGTCTGTACAGGGGTAGAAAAGAAAGTCAACACAAATAGCACATTTTAAAAAGCTATTTTAACTATGTTGTCATGTAATTTTTTGACAAATTTTTATTCTCCCTTATCTGCTGTTCATATCTGAATTACTATATCATGCAGATACAGGACAAATTAATCACCTTATTTTAAATAAGGAATCCATTTACAGATGGTTTGGAAGGGAGTTTTGTGGGTGTAGAGCTTACAGGCCTTAGAAGTGAGATATCAATGCTAAGCAAGACTTGTCTCACTCTCCAGAATAAGTGGACCTGTTAAACTCATGGTAACACCATCATTTTCCCTTATATATAGCATGAAAATTTAATAAATGATTAATGTAATTTTTTTCTAGAGTAGGAAAAATGCTTAGAATATACTTCTTAATATAGTTGATCTGACACATAACTAAGGTAACTGGAGTTCAACGTACAATGGGAATTCTAATTTACCTGCTATAATTCAAGAAAAGTTCTTTGGTACATACTGACTTTACAAAGCTATATATTATGTATATGTATTATGTATTCACATGCTGGGAAGGCATAAGTGCAATATGATTTACAAGCAAGTTTGAGACAAAACATCAGTAATGTTGGGATTTTAAAATTTTTTCTTTAGTTCCTGATGTAGATGACAAAGGGGATGACTGAATGCTACCTACTCAGTTATAAACCATCACAAAGAATTTCCAGCTAAGTCCATACAGTCACATTAAGTGTAAAAGTGTCTACCTTTTGCCTGTAATGATTCTTTATCCCCACACATTTAATTTAGAAACATCTCCCTGACTTTATGCTGGACAAGCATCTGGGAGAAGCTAGAATCTGCACAGTCTCTCCTGATGTGTATTACGAAACCTCTTTACAACTAATTGAAAGACAGGAACTATGGCTTAGTTAAGAGAAAGATATTTAGATACCCACAGGTGCATCTAGCCAATAACAAAAGACCTGTTTTTCATGTTGTAATTTGTCTGGCATTTTAACAGCTGAAGAGATTAATGTGTCCCTCTTGAAGCTGGTGAGAATTATCTCATACCAAATAAATAGAAGCAGGAAAAACCACAAGTTTTCTCTACAAAGGCTAATTTAGTTCCAAGTACTACTGCATGAAAAATGTTTTTGTTCACTTGGAAATCAGTGCAGCCTAACTTCAGAGATTTATTTACAGAACAATAATTTTTACATTGCGGAAGAGAATTACTTCCATCGTACCTTCCCTCCTTTTTTAAAAATTTTTCTTTGCTTGTAAACTCATTTTCTATTTATTTTATGGCTAAACAGTAATTTTACAAATTGTCCTTTATAGGAAATCATTACTGTACTTTGATATCAGGAAATTGTCCTAGATATGTATCCAAAGTCAACAAGGACCCATCCACCAGTTTTTGATGGAAGTCTTCCCAAAGTTCATCACATTTCTGTAAAGGCAGAAAAGAGAAAAATGAGCTTAGTTTAACTTGACTCCAAACCCAAGAGAAACAAATGTAATTTGTAAAGATAAATCTTGCTGAAGTTCTAAAATGTTCTTTATGGCAATAAATCAGAGTGCACTTATAAGGTAAATGAAAAGGAATCACTTGACATTGCATGTTTTAATTCACCACAAAAGAAGATTTAGCTTAATAACTAATTTGTGTTTTCATTCTTTCAAATAATAACTGCTATGTGAAAATAAGGATATCATGGATTCAAGGTCTTCCTCAAGGTTTCAGGTCCCTGAGGGTCAACAACACAGACTCGGAAGATGCCCTAGTTCTTACACCTAGGTATGTTCACTGATGATGAACATTCCTTACAGAGAAAAAAAGTACAACTAAAAATAGAAGAGTAAATAAAATAAAGGAAAAACTAAAGTGCATTTCCCATCAATTACAAGGATTTGTAAGCTTAGCTTTGCTTGGTCATTTTGAAAACAAAAGCTGTGGAAAGCCACCCTAAGAAAGATCTTTCCATCCCATATTTTTTTGCTAATGAAGTATATTTGGCCAATGAAGTATAATGGCCAATGCACAGACAAGAAGTCTACCTCATACTGCTAGAGAACTGAGATGCCAGATATGAAACATGCCAACATCAGCAGGCAAAATAAACAAAATCCCCTCTGGAACCTACAGTACCTTTCCCCAGTTCCCTTTGCAGCTCTGGGGTAGCTACCAAGAGACTCCCTTTGTAGTTTTCTGTTCTTTAAGAACATGTTAATACGAGAAGGACCCTGTAGGAAGCAGGGTGAGATTCCTTGCCAGAGCAAATCCTGTTACATAGAGACTTGTGGTGCCAGGTTCTCAACTGGACAAGTCACTAGCACGTGTTAAACATCCCGATCCACCTTTTCTTTGCACATTTCAAAAACCACTGAACTCCCTTTGGTGGAAGGGAGGTTAAGGGGGCAAACACTGCTCTGCAGGGCTGTTATCCTCACTGGCAAGTCTGGAAAGCTATTCCCTAGCATTTGTTTTATCATGACCTATTATACGGCATATTATAAATGCTGTGTGATGCTGGCATTCAGTTCATTCATTTCCTACCCTAACAGAGTCCCTAATGAATAATTACAATCTATTAATCATGCTTAAAAGAAATACTTCACTTATTAACACAATATTTAATCACAGTGGTCTGCAGAGCAGTACAGCATTAGATCATAGCAAGCAACTGCCGGCCTTGTGCATTTGCCTTTGTATCTTGCTGATACGTATTTCAGACATATTAAAATCATGGAGGTTTTCTGAAAGCTAATGGACTCAAAAACATTGGTGAAGCCATCCTTTAAGCCATCATCTTTCCTACCATACAAAGTCACTTAGGTGGATCCCTTTTGGAATAATCATTTATATCCTGGACTGCACAAATATATCTTTTTTTTTTTTTTACTCTAGGTTGAGGGGTGCATAAACCTACATTTGTGATTATATAGGGAAAAAAACAGAGGCAGAGATTTAGTAATATTGCCCACATGAGTTTCTTATTAAGATGACATGTCTAATGTTTATCCCTATATCTAATACAGTTTAAGAGCCAAATTTTGGTCCTTTCATACACAATTACAAATTTACGAGTATAAATCAAATATCTACAGATACAAGATGAGATGCTATGACAAGACGCAGCAGAAGATCTTCCAGCTGTTTAACCTAAAACAATATAAATTGAATGGTATCTTAACTTACGCAGTTTGTAAGTGGGGTGCTTTTAAACAAAAACATGTCATGCCTTCAGCACCAGGGAAAGGTACAGGAATGCAGCCACAGAGAATAAAAGCAATCATTATACACATTTGGGAAGACTGTTTTGTCTTCCAGTTTCTTGTTAATTATATTATCCAGGAGGCCTTGCAAACTGAATGCCAGGTGGTTAAAAGCTGCATTGGTAACAGTTTGCACTTCTTGTCACCATCAGCACATCTGCTGACAGGCTTCCCACACAATTAAGGCTGTTTAAGCAGGCAATTCAGAGCACCTCAAGATTCTGTAATCCTGCAGTGTCCTCTAGAAAAGCCTATTCTTCCCTAATGACTATAGGAAGCTAGAAAGGCTAAAATGAATGGTGTCCTGCAGCCTAATTTGCCCTTAAATTCCAGATTCTTGACAGAGAGAGGTTAGTATCCTAACTTAACAGATATCCTGTTAAGTGCTACTGGCTCAACAGCTGTTGACATCCTTGTGCACACAAGGATAAGCAGATTTGATAATTTTTAACATTCAGTTGGATTAAGAATCCTGACTGTAAAACTGCATGCGAGACACCTTGTACAAACTTGTTAACCAGTTGCTGTCAGGACCAATTCTGCTCACGCTGATGTTGACCTCGCTGGGAGCTTACGTCAACTAGTTCGTAAAACAGATATCACAAATGTGGCATCCGGTCAGCAGGAGGTGCATTTCACAAGACCAATCATATCTATGCTCAGAAAACAGGATGTAAAATGCAACAAAGAATTAAGGGAAATTTCGGTTGTATGCTTCTCCTCAACACCTCAGATTAATCCATTTGCAGCCAAAACACTTTTTTTCCGCTCTCCACACATCTTACCTCTCCGATCATTTTCACATCTTCGCGTCCGTACCAATCTGGCTCATACACTTCATGAAGAGACTCTGTAAGCTTCTTTGAGGCATCTTGCATTCCTGTAATTCGACAGAATGAGGAACACATAACTGCAAACTACAAGAAGCAGTTGCTAATTATCTTTATTTTGACCCACATGTACCCACTACACTATTCCCTCTGTCATGTTTAGAATATCATTTTCAAGAGCTGAAACAAAACATTTATTTTCACCCAGCTGCCCCAGGTTAATGAGAAATGTTCCTCACAGAAGGATTACCCCCTATTTATATGCAGGAAAAAAGTTTCTATCAAATTAAGGATTCCATTTTCTGTTCTGAACTAAACATACCTGATCGTGAATAACAACTCAGAGGGTAGTCCTGCCCACTAAAGACATGTAATACCCAACTGAAAGACTATCACTGAAAAGAAAATCAAATAGTGACCTGCCTTTGGTTATTCTCAGCTCTTCCATCCTACCTTGTTCATAAATAAGTACCAGGCTAACCTGGTCCATGAGGACCGGGTTAAAATGGCAGATTTATGGGAATTGCTGGCTATAAAAATGGACTTAAGAGAAAAGCTAGAAGAGGTCTGCACTAAACAGTAGTTCTCCCCCAGAATAGGGGAGGTCGCACACATGTAGAATGTATCTCAGGTTTTCTCTGTTTCCTTGTTTTCAAAGATATTTAAGTCTCAGGAGCTTTTACGTGTAAAGTGAGAGGGGTAGAGCTTGTTATTCTTGTGCCCACAATAATGATGGTGACCTAAAGGTATGTTCACAATGAAGCAAAGGACTGGCAATTGCTGAGATATTGTCTAGGGAAAAAAGATACCCGAACTTGGGGAGAGTGCTGTAATGGACCTAGTTTTATGAAGAATGATTATCTTTTATGCTCACCCAGTAGGTTTAGAAGAAGCATGTGGAGCCCAGTGCTTATTTACGCTCGCAGCAGTGTGGTGTCTATAGAGAAGTGTGCTAAATCAAACTGCATCAGTCACCTTTGGAGCTCTTGCTACCACAGGTGAAACAAGAATAGGGACTGTTCATTGTTACCAGTCTCTAACACACATAGGAGCTGGCTTAAATGTGAAGTAGCTTCAATGATATGATGAGAAAGAGCCTAAATCTATCTTCAGTGACATCAGTTTGACCCCAGTGAATAAATTACTGCCCTCAGTGAAGGCACTGGGATTTGCCTTTCCATTTTGATGGAGCACCAATACATTAGATGTTGAATATGGTTCTGAATCCAGAGAAACCAAACTGATCTCACCTAACATGCTGAGACAGTTCAGAATCAGTAATTTTAAAATGACAACTTTATTTCAATTTCTTTGCAAAATCTGAACAACACTGCTGATTTTTTTTTTACCAAGCATTAACTTTTTTTTAAAAACCACATTTTTGCTCCATCCGAAGCCTGTTTGCTGCAGCACATTTGTGCTGTCTTGAAAATATCTCTAGTATGATCTTCAGTACTCCGTAGTGGCTGAATTTAGGAATAATATCAATACTTCTGCACAAAGAAGTGTTCAGTAGTGGAAAAGGAAAATTCATTTGAAACTTGAACATCTAGAAGAGCAGAGTTGACCTGAGTTGACCTAGTCAGTAGCTATTCCACCACACACTCAAGATAGGACAGGAAAATAAATGCAGTAATGCACACTTCCTAATATAGAAATGGTGGTCTATGGAGTGAGTAGGATAGGAAAAAAGATACTGAAAAAGCTGAAAGGCTGTTTTCAGACCTTGGGTTCAAGGGAGAGAATAGCATGGGAAATGGAGAGAACAAGTAAAAAGGAAACCCTGGTGTTCAGAGGGTACAAACTTTCACCCTTCAATTGAAAGGTACTGAGCCAAAATAGAGGATTTGATCTCTTCAGGGATTGTTTTGTGGGTACTTAGAGCTCAGCTCAGAGAACTGGTATAGCACAGGGACTTAAGATGCCTTTCTTCCTTGTGTCCATCATGGCTGATGCTTAGGATGATGTATCACAAGCTAAGAAAGGGTTCCTAAATAAAGGGGATTTTTTTTCCTAGAATATGCCAGATTACAGTAAAATACAGATGATCTTCACATATTTTTCCAGGCAAGACTCATTTAAGATCTTTAATGCCACTGCAAATTAATCAGCTCAGGAGGTAAGGCAAAACCAGCACAGTATCACTGTGCTTAAGAAGGCTGCTTCTGTCCACTCAGGGCGAATGCACAGACCTTTCTGGTCCGTGCATCCCTGCTCATGCTTGATCCTTTTTGATACCTGAGCTTCTGCTCTTAAGCACGCTGTGTGCTAACCCTGCCACGTACATTCCTGGGGCTGGTAGGCTAGCACAGCTGCTCACTAATCCCTCCTGCAGCTTGTGCTCAGCTCCGTCACAGACCAGGCTTGGGTAGAGCATCTTTTCCTATGCAGACTTTCTTAAGCACCACAGGACTCAGGCATATAACAGTTTAAGAGAATAAGTAAAAGACACTTGATATCCCACGCCCAAGCCAAACAAAGTTGCACCGACTTTCATACTTTTTTCAGTTCTGAGAAACTGGTAATCCTCCATTCTACCACATTCCTATAAAAAAGGTCAATAAAATCCAGATGCAGTGTGAGGCAAATGGGCATTACAGCACTCAGCTTCTTCAGTCAGGGGCTTCAGTCTGAAATTTCCATAGGCCTCGATCATCCACCCTACTCCCCTCCTACTGCATCTATACTAGGTTTACTGCAATACCCCAGATGAGTGGATAGGTAAACACCAATCCAGTGGCTTCGCATTCTTTTTCATGTCTGTGGGCATAAAGTTAAAAATGTCCAATGATTTTTTAATTGTCTGGTTTTTGCACAGAATTATTTCTTATGCACTGATACCTTTTATGCATTAGTCAGCACTAAAGAGGATTAATGTTTCAGCCATACTCTGCTGTTTTTAACTGCTATTGCTGAGAAAGAGAAATTGTTTAAAGCAAGTCATTAAAGAACTAAGAAATGTGAGAAGAATTTTTACTGCTGATGAACAGTTAGAAATTTATATTTAATATCCATAATTTCATTTAGGATCATTTTGTCTTGGTAACTGGGTCACTTTACTTAATAACTACGAGTGCCAAAATAATCGAATTGCTTCAGAAAAATGATACTAAATAGTCCAGTTACTGATGTCTCAGGCTTTTGGATGAAATCATTCCTCTTTCTGCAGGGAAGAGGCCCTGTCCCTGGAAAACAAAAGGACTCCCTACCCGCCATGTGGTAGGGATCCTGGGAGTGGCAGTGCAGAGACACTCCCATTAAGCACCCTAGAGACAGCAGACGGTAGGTGACTTTGCCATCACAAGTCCAATGTACTCAAGCTCTGATGGAGATTCAGACTGGCCTGGGACTCCATGTGGGCCGTAGGACCCATATACTGTGGGGCTTCCTCACCCCCCAGCAGGGAAATCTAGGCTGAATCATGGAGAAAATTCCATTTTCCTGATGGAGTGGGGAACCTTGGGCTGGCTCTTAATATTTAATTATTTGAGTGGGGAAGAGAGCTTCATGTGCAGTTCTCCAGGAAATGACTTATCCTGCCACAAGGGTTGTATCTGTTATTGCTAGTTACCCATTAAAGTTTCCACTGGAACAATTCAATCATTTCATAATTCATTATGAAATTTTACAGAAAGACGATGAATAGTTTTATTGATTCTAAGAAATTACATGATTGATTTTAACATTTGTGTGTCTGGAGGATATGTGCATTTTTGTCAGTCACAGACTGACAACTAGGCAGCAAAACTGCTTACATGTCCCCTTCCCTTCCTGTAGACCAGTTAATACTTCTCACTACATTAAGCCACCTGGAAAGTATCGTGCTTCTTTTTCATGATGCAGGATTCCTTTTTACCTCTGCTGCCTTGCCACCTGCATGCACATCCGATTTTCTATCTCCCCATCCATACTGGTACATGCAAAGAGCTCAGGGTAGAGAATGGGAGGCTGATTTAGGGTTTCTTTAACAACTGGCCCATAAAACCATTCAAGTCACCTACAGCTCTCAAAAGCTTAAAAAAAATTAATCATGAAGTAGAGAACCAAGATACATGTTGCCAAGGAGACTGGAAGAGACAGAAGACTGAGGCACGAGATGACTATATAGCTATGGGGGATAGCACACAGTCTTGTCAGTACAAACACCACTGATACACAGCAGATGTTAAACTATCATGCAGGTGAAATAAAACAGCACATAAAAGCCATTTACAAGTTCAACAGCTTTATGACATGGTTCCTCTGTGTCCTTGAGTAACCAGCAGTAAAGATCAAAATCCAGCTAAGACTAAGAAGCACTTCTGAGTGAGAGAAGAAGTCTGAATACAGCAAAAATTCTTTTCAGAATGCATGTTACTAAACCGCAGACTGTCAAGTATATTAAAACTCAAGGACAGAGGGTCATAAGAAGGCTCAATTAAGAGTTCCTTGCTTAAACAATGCTTGGTCCTTGTACTTCCAGCTTCCAATATCCAGTCACTCTAAAGTCATGCAGCAAAATTAAACATCACTGGAGTTCAGATCACATAAGCTTCATAAAATGCTTTTAGTCAAAGTTAGCTATCTTGACAATTCCTGAAACCCTTTAAAACAAGATGCTTTTCTCATACCTGTAAGAGTACAAGGATGTCAAGTGCAATGTTTTCCAATTATATGATCAACCTTTTTCCCTGAAAAATGAGCCCCTGATGACAGCGTGCCTCCAAGGCTCAGATGTCCTAGGTGCAGAAATCCCACTCCACTGCCTTAATATAGGGGTTCCCATGCTTTTGTGCCTAGCCACCCCAAAATCTTTTAATGATGGCAGTCCTTCAAAGAATAGCAACAAAGAGACTGTAGCAGTTGCTGGATCTGCTGCTGACACTCAAAATGTGTAAAGGTCTGTGCCACTCCTGAGCTAGTCAGCTTTGGGGAAGCCCCAGCCAGAGCTGTGTGTTGGGGACTACTATCTCAGGCTGTCCTCTCACTCTATTGCACGAAGGTGTGCCAAGGATGCCCACTGGTGGCCTGTTGGCTTTGGAGAATAACATTTTTAAGGCTCCTCTGAGCAGCTTATGACTAGGTCTTTTTTAAGACATGAAGATAATGAGATGTTACCAAACACTTCTCATTCTCAGTAAGAAAGTCAGTCCAAATTATTTTCAAATATGGACTTACAGGGTGTAACAAGAGAAATATGCTGAACAGAAAAGCACAGCTAAAAAGATAAAACTTGCATAAGGAAAAATTTCACACCAAGTTAAAAACAAAACTTGGTGCAAAGAGTAGCCCACTAGAGAGTAGCCAGCAAAAGGACCACAAATGCACGTAGTACTAGGAAAAGAAGAGAAAGAGAGAAAGAAAATGAAACATGGAGAGGAGGATTGTTGTCACCAACACGGAAATCAAAGCATAATGTAAACAGTCAGCCTACGTGACAGAAAAGCCATCTGGCCAACAAACACCCTCATCACGCTGCTTCTGAGTATCCATCTGATAATGGGTGTGGGAAAGGGATGACTGAAAAATAAGAAAGTAAAATCAGCATCCAATGGGTCCCCAAAAATGACTGATGTTGAAATATCCTCTAAGAAGAAAACACACTGCAAATCTCTACAAGGCAAAATATCTTTTGTCTGGACAGGATTTTCTTTGCCCAGCCCATCCAGCAAATAATAGATGGTCAAAGACATTAAGCTACTGCTTTGCTTCCCATTTTACAATCCCCATTAAAAGAGCTTTTTTCCCTGTCTGTCAACAGTTGCTGAAGCTTTAATATGACACAGTGATTTCCAGGGATGTTAATACTAATTTGCAATGTTTTCCCTTCTGAACTGGAGCCAGGCTAAAAATATATACACATATATACACACATATATATATTTATCACATATATATAATTTTTTTTATCTCAAGAAGCCACTACTGTGTCTCTGTCAATCACCAAATCTTATTCCCTACCCTTTAGCACCTGGCCTCCAACTCCTCCAAAGAGAGGCGGCATGAGAAAAAGAACACTCTGCATATGGTGCTAAACTGAGTGTTCTGGATTTACAAATGTCCAGTAGGTTTTAAATAGCTATTTACTTAATTTCTGATATTTAAGCGCTGACTAGTGAGCTTCTGCTACTTGGATTTCCAATGTAGTATCAAAAGAGATCACATTTGACTTTTAAATTAAAAAAAAAAATACAAAAAACAAAAAAACCAAAACCCTGATTAAGCAGTCAAATACATAAGAAAACACATCATTGCAGGGAGCATGGTTTTGGAGGGAGATCATCAGCCAACTAGTAATACCTGGAAACGTTACAGTTGTGGAGCTCAAGCAATCCCTTGCCTTGCATGGGGTATTTCATATTCTAGCATTTGCAAAGACGAGTAACAAGATGCGTAGATTGTGGGTGTTCAAAATGAATGCAACGTGAGAATTTGTGCAGCAGTCCTGCACACAAAGGACAGCCAAGGATGAGCTGTGCATGCAAGACTCTACATACAAGATCTGACAATGAAGCTGCAGAATCCCTAGCAACAGGCTAAAGAGCCTGTGCCAGATCCAAAGCAGAAATGTGGAGTACTAATGACAAAAGCAATATTGTATTTGTCTTTGTATACATTAATCAAGCCTACTTGTCTCAGTTTTATAAAGAAGTTTGCTTTGTGTAAACATGATGTAAAACTTAAAAATCACCTTTGATGGCTGCTAAATAGCCTCTCAGTTCTCTCTGGAGCCTGGAACCCTCTGCCTGGAAAGAAAAACAAAAGAAAAAAAAAGCAAGGAAGTGAAAACATATTTCTTTTACATTATTGAAAACACATTTCAGTTATGTTATTGAAAACATATTTCAGTTATATTTTATGCCTTAAAACATGCATACAGTATGTCAAACTTGACTAACAAAAGCAGTTTCAGGAGCTATCTGATGAGTGGTGTCATATGTTGCAAGCATGCATAAGTTCATACAGAAAAGGTGGCCTGGCCAAAATGCTATGTATAGTGTACTCTCTAGGATAAATTTTCTGGGTTTATTTTATCAGTCATGGGCACAGGGAAGAATTCCAGCCAAAGAAAGACAGGTATATTTTATGGCCAAAGTCCAGTACAAGTCAGCCTAGACAATGTCCTAAGCAGAAACACAAAGAAGTACAATCAAGAACAGTGCACCTCCACTGGAAACCACTCAAATGAGCCCTTACATAAATGGCTTACTACATTTGCAAACATTTTTCCACGTATTTTAACATTTTAATATTTTGCAAGCAAGTAACTGCTAAAAACCAATAATAACTTTAGTTATCGTTTTTAGCCTGGGTGCTGCATCTTGCAGTCTGCTGTGAAATCTCAACTGTTTCTTTGATAAATAATCAAAACGATCTTTATCTTATACCAACAGCCTCTGAAAAACTCAAAATAGACAAAACAAAATGGGTTGCTTTATTTTATCTCTGACTATATCACACGTTGGACTACACAGCTCTTAGAATTTGCAATAAAATCTGTACTACAGTATAGCACACACTTTATTGCTAAAAAGCTGTTGTCCAGGACACCTTCAATAGCCTGAAGATTTTAGAAGCACTCCACACTTATCAGTTCCCAATATCCTTCAAATTATTTATTTAAGCAGTTGGAAACTATAGGATTATCAGCCTGCAGTCACATTTTCTCACATATAGCTACACCATATGGAAAAATCAGCTGCAAAATATGACTGACTGCTTCAGAGTTTCTCTCATATTTTTCATGTGAAAGTCAGAACCCAAAAGGGTGCATGTGTGAATACTTTACAAGACAGAGTCTCAACTGGTATAAGCTGTTATAATTCCACTTAAGTCAAAGGACTTCTGGTGTCAGTAAAGGATTTGCCATCAGCGACAGTGATACTTGGAGCGTTCAGACAGAGGATCATACGAAATTCAGGTTGAAAGGGACCATCTGGAGGTTACCTGCAGCCGTGTTATATTCAAATGCTGGTTCTCAAAAAAATACTCACTTGCCTCACCAGTACACACATTGCAATGCAGATTACATCCACTAAACTTACTTGTCTCTCCCAGCTCCCTGCAGGGAACTGAAGGCCTTTAGAACCGGATCAACCTCCCCCCAACTGCAATGCACTGTAAGAAGACAGCAACTGGTTTAAGGTCCTGGAAATATTAAAGAATTTAGAAGGTAAAAATGCCTGAGTGGGCTTAGAAAGCAGACTGAATGCACTTTACAGACTCAGTGAACAGAGTTGTTTTTACACTAATTTGATCTGAAGCAAAACTCCTTTTTGCACATAAATTCATTATCAACTGAATTCTGAGCACAGGAATAGACCCACCAGGGTGGTATCTGAGGAGCACCCAGTCCCCAATCTGTCTCTGGTTTGGGGTTATATTTCATGCTCCAAGGAAAAGCAAACCCATCCCTTGCTTTGGGATCAAAGCTGCATATCAAAGCAGGGGCCAGAAAGGCACAGGCCAAGTAACCAGTGGATTAAACCTCAGGCTTAGTTACTTTCAACACAACACAACAGAAAGTTCTGAAAGTAGTGGTAGCTTGATGTTGGGTCTCTTAGGAAAATACATACATGTACATCTTAATAGCACTTTAGTAAAAAGTACTACCCTAACGCATCTTAACAACACATTTTATCATCCTACGTAACACACTTCAGAATCTGACTTTTTTCTACTTCTTTCTATGCTATATTGGGAAGCAGAGAGATGACAGAAGCTGTCTGCTTTCCACGAAGCAAGGCATTAAGTGAACAACACTGCCACAGAGGAAAGGAGATTGAACCCGGGAGCAGAATTTCTCGCTCTCAGATCTGATGAGGAGTATCTGTAAGCATGTGGCAGAAAGAGGAGGGAAGTTCCCTTTTGATGGAAGCCACTCTCCTCCTGGGAGGATCCCTCGTACTCAGAGAAGTCACATGAAGGTATAGAAATTATCTTATTTGACCTGAGTGCTTGGGGTGAAAACAAGAAGTATATAGAGCAACTTGATACTTTATCATGGTCCACCTGAACAGGTGTCCACACAATAACAATTTTTAGTTATTAAACAATTTCTGATGTTTTAGGAGTAGCACACTACAGCTGGAAGGCTCAGAACCCTGTTAGCTGTCCTCATGTCCAGTAAAACATCTATTTTGTCACTAGGACTAACTAGCACACCACAAATGTCAAGTCACAGGCACACACACTGCTCAAACACTATGCTTATAGCTGTACTGCTGTGTAGTTTTACGACTGTTACCTTAAACCACTATGAGATCTATCGTGGTTGGTTAGCATTGTGCATCATCAGCAACCACTGCCCAGGAAAACGTATAAGAAAAAGTCAAAGCAGTAAAACACAATGCAAATATTTTGCCATAAGTGCTGTTATGAATTCTGACCATTCAAAAGAGTAATTTTTACATGCATCTCCCTCAGTCTAGGTTATTAACAGGCCACACACCACTGAAATATTTAAGCAGCATAGAGCCTTACAAATTTTCCCTAATTAGCAAATGTTGGATGGACACGTGACTTTAAAGCATCCATGGGCAAGGGCCAGCTCCCACTGAATTTGAGAGATAATCTTTCCGTTTCACTGGCAACAGAAACAGACCCTTCTATAAAATAGCAGAAATAAAAATTTGCATCAAAAGTTCTTAGCCCTATGAACTCTGCAGGACATGCCTCTGGCCTACATATTTTGTTATAGTAAACACAATTAGTGAAGACAGACTAATTAATATTCACAGGATGAAAATACTGCATTGCTGGCTCCACACATCTTGCAAACTGTGACATAAAGGTTTTAAAAAGCACTGTTTTAAAGACTGGCACATATTGCCCCTTCTCGATGTTTACTGATACACTCCTTTCTAGTCTATCAGATGAAAACATCTGGTGGCTCTGAAACCACTGCTCCAAGTATCTTCATTAAGGCCATCAATTTTGCTAATTGAGATGCAGCTTATTGAAGAAGAATGAAAAGTAGGTGTCATTTTGCAGATGTTGTTCTCCTCTGAAATGATATTTCCCAAGAGAGCACTGATGATTCCTTTTAACATTTCATAATTTCTTTTATTTGTTCTACATGAGGCAGCAAAATGAGTCAGAGTTTCATAATATGCAGGAAAACTCCACAGAGAAATCTCAATAGCATACTTAATAGCAAATTTCTCACAGTCAGGTTGTTTGATAACAGCAGGCATGTTCTCACCAGACATCAGTGCTCTTAGCTCACTTGGTCAAACTCAGCATACAGATTACCAAAACTCTTGTCAGGCAATCCTGTTAAATTGCACATAAGAGCAAAGGAGGCACATTAACAACACGAACCAACATCCCTCATTAGGAAAATCGACACAGCTCTCCACAGTGATGGCCCAAACAACAACCTGCTGCTCTGAGCACTGTAGCACACAAGTCAGCGTCACTGTCAGAACCCCTTTTCTACTCTCTGGTCTCATCACATGGTCAGTATTATGCAGCCTGTACAGACACATGCACCCAGTGAGATAAGGAGGCTCAGTGTTTCAGGATCTTGTCATCTACAGCCACAGGTCTTCTACACCTTTACAGCAGCATTAAGCCTTTTCAGTACTACTGATTCTTGTGTATGTTTAGTTTTGGTTTTCTCTTCAAACAATAGTATTTAAGCATATCTTAGCACTGGAATTAAGACAAAGAAAGCCACAGCATTGTTGGCTGTAAGACTGACAAGACCTACAGAAACTTAATGACTAAAACCATAAAAACCATGGTTTGTGTCTTACCAGCTTTTGTTTCCTGAGGCAACAGAAAAATTGTTGCTTCCACTCAGAAATTAAAGGCCACCTTGCCTCCACGAAAGCTACAATTGGATGACCTATTTGCCAGGCATCATTTATTCATAGCTTTCCGAGCACAACAGAAGAGTTTGATTTTTCTATCATGTCACATACAGGATATAAACACAATACATCTTTACAGGAAAGGTCAGCACAGCATGTGCTTGATACCAAAAACAAATAAATCACTCCACTTGAGCGAGGGTCAAGAGCACTGTCAATGCTGAACCTGAAGCACAGGTTAATTAATAACCTGTCCATAGAAATGCAAACCAGATAATTATTAATGCAGTTCTAAGTCTAATAGTGGAATTTTGTCATTCCATCACTAAGACAGCAGGGAAATAACTCAAAAGAAAGCATTTTCTGTAACACCTGGAAGACATCCTTCATTGTAATGTGCAGTTATTAGCTGCAATGTAAAGCAGCATTGTCTCTCTGTTTGCAAACACTTTAGGTAGTATTTACTGTTAAGTCTTTTAGGGAACTCAGAAGTATGAATACAAAAGACTAATTGAATTAAGTGAAGCTTAAAATAAGAGGCTTTTAGGACAAATCCATAATTCAGTATGAAATACGTCTACATACCAGAGCACCCTATTTTACCATTTCTCAGTCTTCTTATAGTTCCTAGAACTGTCTCCCAAATTCTGGAATCTTTTTCTTAAAGAAATACATTTCTTCTTTTCTCTTTCTACAGGCTGTAAGAGACTTGGGATTTGAATTATGTGTCTAGTGCATCACTTAAAGTTTGGTTTGCAACCTTCTCTGGAGACAGAGGGTTTTGATATCCCAGTCAATCTGTGGTCCAGCTACTAACAAGGCTCAAGAGCAAGAATTTAATCATTCTAGTTATTAGGTAATGTGATGAGTTCAAGGAAACTATGGCAAATCAAACAGGCTCCTCAGACAATCTGGACTAATCCAAAAAG